TTTAAATATATTTTATTGATTTTTGTACAGAGAGGAAGGGAGAAGGATAGAGAGTTAGAAACATCGATGAGAGAGAGTCATCGATCAGCTGCCTCTTGCACACCCCCTATTGGGGATATGCCCGCAACCAAGATCCATGCCCTTGACCAGAATCGAACCCAGGACCCTTTAGTCCTCAAGCCAACGCTCTATCCATTGAGCCAAACTGGTTTCGGCAAAAACGTATTTTTAAATGGCCCTAAAACACGTCTACAAAAAACTCCCCTCAGTACTGAGTGATAGAATGCAGAGACGTTGGTATTGTCATTTACTCATGAACAATATTTTCCAGTATTGAAAACTTTGACCTATCTTGTTCTGAACTTTATCTTCACTAAATTCCTGAATTTGTGAAGTATTTATGAAGGGCACCAAATCTTTTAATAGATTCCCTAATTTTTGGTTCTCCTTGGATGACAACACCTTCAGGTGAATTATATTAAAATAATACTGTGAAAAATAGTGGTTCTCAATTTTCTATCTACACATTAATAACAAGTAGGTTATAGGTATATGTATCATCATTTGCAAACATGTCTTGAATACCTACTATGACATATATTAGTTGAGGTTTACAGATTTCTGCAATAGGCAATTCACGTTAATGAAGGTAGGTGATTCTTATGCACACTATAGAAATATGGAACAATAATGGAAACATGCTTGTTCTGTACTTCCTATATGCCAGTTACTGTTTAAGTGCTTTACATATATTAATCATCTAATCTTTACCACAACCTGTGACATAGATGCTATTATGGCTGTTTCAAGAGGAGGAAGGTGAGTGACAGAGATTTTAATTAACTGGCCAGAGTCACACAGCTGGAACATGGCAGTTCTTGAGTTTGATTCAGGCAATTGACTCCATAATCTGCCTCAAACCCACCACACAGCCTGCATACCCTGGGGCCAAAGCAAGAACTGAGTTTCCAATTTACATGATTCAAATCCCTGCTATATTATAAAAGGCTCTATTATTTAGCTGTATTTTAAATATAAATGCAAATAACTCAATTGCCTGCATTTTGCCCTGAAATTCACAGAAATATCTAATATTTTTTCTCAAAAGTACTAGTATATTTTATAGTTATATAACTGCACTGTGTACATAGATTTCTGTATACCCCCATGACCCTGTTACCTATGGAGGGGGGTAGGCTTCAATATGCAGATATAGGGGCCACAGCAAGGGATCAAACCCAAGTTCCGTGACCTCTCTTAGCATCAGTTTTCTCATATTTAAATTGGGTTGAAATCAGTATGCATCTCATAGGGATAAGTTAACCTACAGATGTAGAAGTGCTTAGTTTAATGTGTACCATGTTCTAGGTTAACTGTAATTGTCGATGTCCCTGTTCCCATAATGCACTCCACCTGAGCTGCCATGGGAAGGACATGAGAGTTGCTACAGGGCAGAGTAAAAGGTTTCTTTTCAACCAATACCACGTCCCTCTATCACAATGAGTGATTGTTCTTTAACCATCTTTGAACTTGAAGGGATATCAGTTTATTTTTGTCTGTTTCTGATAGCTACTTGCCTCCATAATTGCATCATGTTCTGATTGAAGAAGTGATTTCATTTTGAAGGAGTCTAGCAGAGAATATGACTCTAATGAGAACGTCAAATAAAGAAATCTGATCTCCAGGACTCTGATGTGCAGAAACCTGTTGTTAGCAATCCATAGGCGATTCAACACTCTCCTTCAGGGTGTGAAGGTAGAACTAAGGTGGCATTCAGAATTAAGGATTTAAAGTGTGCATCTGTACAATGAGGTTTCAAGCCACAAAGCAACCATACAAATGTATTTTGATGGCTTGGTAATACCATAGATGCTTCTGTTATTATATATTTTAATGGTGGCCGGGTGGGTGCTGAAGATCATATTCAGGTTGTCATCTGGTTTCCTGAGTTGACTTTTCATTATTTTGAAGAAAATATATTTTCTGGATAAATATTATTGAGGTTCAAGATACTGTGTCACCTGCTGAGGCTTTGTGTATGGAGATTTAAAGAACTTTAGAGTTTTTGAAATTTTGCTTGTAATGTAGACTATGTCAGTAGATTCTTAGTAAATGTTAGTTCCCCATTGGTATAGCATATATCGATATCATTATTCCTGCCAATGTTTAAGAAATATATACATCACATTTCATTAGGATGATATTTACTTAAAGGAATCATTATCTACCCAAATTTTAGAACACACACACACACACACACACAAATTATTCTCAAGTTATTATCCTTTATTAACTCAGTTAACTAGGCTAATGATTTTATTTTAAAAATGTACCTTGAAATCTATTTCCTAATATTCTTTCTAGCCTAGTTTAGTTGAAGTTTCACCCACTCATGTATGTAGAAGCTGGATGAGTATCATAAAGGACACTAGCAGAATAGTGGGATCCTGAAACAGAAGACAAGATCTTTCAATTGGGTACATCTAATAAATAGCTAAAGAGAATGTTTGAAACTTACCTGGTATGGGAACTGAAAATATATAAGAAAAATGGGTGTAGCACATAGACTGCCAGTATACAGCCTTTATTTTACACTCTGTGCTGTGACAGTGGCTCCTGACTTCAGCTATATGTGTGTTCAATCTATCCTCAGGACACAGATTATTGCCTCACTCTCCTTTTTCAAACAACTTCAGCGTCTCTACATTGAATGCTGCACAAAACACAAGGCCAATTCTCTACCATGACATGGAAGGAGCCCTTCTTTTTTAATTTTTTATTTTATTTTATTGATTATGGTCTCACATAATTGTCCTTATTCCCCCATTCCCATCCCAAACCCCTAGGGTCTGGTTTCTCCCTAATTTTCCTGTTTCATCACTCACTGTTCACTTTCCCTTATATATTATTCTCCAGAAAAAAACAAAACAAAACAAAAAAGAGAATGACAAAATGCCTTTGACCTAGTATGCCATGTTATTGATGCTGCTGTGCTTGTTCTCTCTATCTGAGGTTTGGCCTTCATCTTGTCCAACTGGTGGCTATTATTCAAATGGTACTTATCACTCAGTATCCCTTTAAAGCCTCTCTCAGAGGCTGCGGGGCAGTGCTACAAACAGTCCTTAAGATACAGCTCTGCATCACGCCGATTCACTGGAGTTTGTATTCCACATCTGCCCACTTCATTAACGTATCTCTGTCCTTCTTTAATGCCAAGACTTTGACTCATTGTCTCTCTGGTGTCTAGCACAGTGCTAGGCACATAGTATGTGTGTCCTGTAATTATGTGTGGATCTGAATAGTAAGTTGCCTACACGATTTCCATATTCTGATAGGAGTGTGGTAAGAGAGAAAATAATGAATATTATTGTAGACATTCCTTAGAATGACAAAAATTAATGGTGATTATCTTTTAGGCAATATGTTGTTGTTGTTTTTTTATCTTTCAAGTCACCTAAGGGCTATATGTTTTCAGACTCACTTTATTCTAGGAATGTTCAATTTGGCATAATCAAATAGAAAGCACTATTTAAAAAAGGGCAAACCCTCCATAAATCCCAGCCGTGGGTTGATTTCAGAAAACACTAATACATGTGGTGTCACCAACTGCTGACTGATTGGACCATCGCAGGCACTATCTCCACTGGTTGTGTTTAATGGACATTTCTATAGAGTTTGGCTCATGATGTTGTTTGAAGCAATCTTCCCTTTACACTACACTGGGCATACAGTTCATAATTTTCTGACCTGTGTGATTTATGTGTCTGTTTTCCACAGCTTTTGTTTTGATATCAGAAACCATTAATCCTTCAAAGTCCTGAGGTTGTAATGTGAACTGCCAACAGCATTGATTTGCAATTGGCATGAGAGTATGCTTTAACCATTTACAAAAATTCTGATTTGCTTTGGAATGACAACCTTTTCTTTTTACCACTGAAGTATTCCAATAAAGAATACCCTCTGACTCTTTAATAAAGATATATTTATTAAACAAAATATATTCACTCTAGGCCTCTGAATTAATTTCCTTGGCTTTATATCAACCTTTTCATTAAAGCTAGCGTTTGACTATAATATTAGTTCCCCCTGCTGCTGAGATAACCATTAATAATTATTGCTTCTATGAAATTTTAACAATCTCTGTAAATATTAATATATGTCATCTATCATAAGTGACATATATATAACATATATACATATCTGTATACATATGTATATATACACATGCATACATGTTATATTGTAGGGTGATCCAGCTATATCTCTTGTTGACAATCAGCAATAGATTTTATTTTTAATTACCCTATATGTTTCATGAAGACAACATATTAAAAGCTAATGTGAGGGTCATTAAAGCTATGTAATTTCATTCGTGTGTTCTTATAAACACTACAAATGTCACTGAAGCCTTTTTTAAGTTACAGGCTTTTAATGATGCAGGGTCTTCTTCACTTTTTGCATAATTAACAAGAATAATCTAATTCTGCAACCTTGATAAGAATCTATGCTGGTGATTTGGGCATCATCAAATCTTTATATGAAATACCTTTCAAAATTATGGATAGTTGTATTTGTTTGGAGAGGGCATGTATGGGGAAGATGACATGACACAGGAATTATTGAAAAGAAAAGAATTAGGAATATGTGGATCATTCCAAATATATGTTAGCTTATCTACGAAGGCAACTGCACGCCTCAGTAATAAGAGTGTTTGCAAAAGAGCATCAAGTCTCTAGGGGGAAAAAATGATCTAACATTTAGCTTGTGTGCAGGTAATTTATTCTTCTTTATAGGAATTCTGGGAGAAAATGCAAAAAGCTATTTGTTGTTCACTTTTTTATCCCGGGTTTTCCCTAAATTTTGAAAATATTCCAGGGATCTGATTCACTTAGAAAAGTTAAGCATTTTACACTAAATGCTAAAAAAAAAAAAATGCCCTTTTAATCAACAGAAAAGATGAGGCATTCACTGACTGTCACGAGGAACCTGTTGTTTTTCAGGGAATGATGTATCTGGAAGAAAGACGGCTCGTTCATCGCGATCTGGCAGCCCGTAATGTCTTAGTGAAATCTCCCAACCATGTGAAAATCACGGATTTTGGACTAGCCAGACTCTTGGAAGGAGATGAAAAGGAGTATAATGCTGATGGAGGAAAGGTGAGTATCTTTTTGAGAGCTATGTTGCTTGTAAGCATATGATGGTATCCTTTCATCTACTTGTATTTTATAGGAAGAAGCCAATAAGCTTGAGATTTAAGAGATTACATAATCCCAATTCTACCATTGACAGTGTCTCCTGCCAGGGTAAACACATACAGAGAGAACACATTGCCAACTTCTCTTTCTCAAAAGTAGCTCAAATAAAACAATGCCTGTCTGGACCCAGGCAGTCTTTATGTGAGGTCCAGTGTGGGAAAGTGGGCGGGTCCTTAGGGATTCCAGAAACTAAGCTTTAATCCAGGGCTATAGAAATTGTTGCATTGGTCCTAAAAGCATAGAGCTGACTCTTACAGGGGATACAATTTCTCTCTCACAGGCTGGCGAGAAGCTTGGCTGCTTCCCTAGAACTTTAGGAAGATTGACCAGCCTATTTAACTTCTTCTTTTCTTTTCTTTTTTTGTTTTTATTTTTTTTTATTTTGAAGGAATATTTAATATTAACATTGTGAGTTATTATCTTTTGCATATCAAAGTTACACATTTCAAACAAATTGTCATTTATATTTATAGTATACAAATGCAAAGCACTAATTTCCCACTAAATCATCACTTCCTTAAAATGGTACATGTGATGTTATGAAATTAGCTATTAAGTATTCGAAATAGTGAAAAAGAGGTCCTTTCTTCAGTCTTTTTTTAATATATATTTTTTAATTTTTTTGCCCCCCCTCCCTCCCACACATCCCCTCCCTCCCCAGATTTTTATGTCCATTGGTTGTACTTATGTGCATGTATAAAAGTCCTTCGGTTGATCTATTATCTCCCCCAGATCTTCCTCCCCTCCCCGCTGTAATTTGATAGTCTGCTTGTTGATATACTGTCTCTATATCTATCTTTTGGTTCATCAGTTTATAATGTTCTTTATTATCCACAAATGAGTGAGGTCATGTGGTGTTTTTCTTTCATTGACTGGCTTATTTCACTCAGCATGATGTTCTCCATTTCCATCCAGGTTGCTGCAAATGATGAGAATTCCTTCTTTTTTATGATAGTATTCCATTGTGTAGATGTACCATAGTATTTAACTTCTAATCCTCCTAGAACAGATAAAACAGATCCCTCTTATCTGACTTGTTTGTTTTTAGCTTTTATCATAGTGTAGGCATTACCAATTTACTTTATTTATTACCTGACTCTTTCCTCTGTAACTTGTTATATCCCAAGAGGTCTGAATAGCTACAGTTTCTCCTAACTTTTCTGACCCTCCAGCCCCAGGCTCTGCCTGACACCTGTGGTCCTGCCTCTCTCATCCACTAGATGTTCATGGCTTAAATTTTTGTCTTTTTCCATTCTTGGCTGACCAACCAGTATAGTTTTATTGTGGAGTTCCTTCTAGCTGGACTTGGGAAAACTTAGATAAGGAGAACCAAATGATAAAACAAAAATGCAGACTTACCTTCTGCTGACCCAAAGCTAATACTGATAAAAATTTGTCATATAAATGATATGTTTATCATATGCTTTATTTAACATGGACCATCCAAATATATTTTTTAAATATTTTGAAGTGATAGGCTTCTAAATGTTTATCATTGATTTTTTTTATATTCAGTTCTTACATAACCATATGTATTCAAATATTACCAAGGATACAAAAATTATTTTTAAAAATACAAATGCAGTTTTGTAGTATTACCTGGCATTTTTCTTGATTTTATTTGCCTATTTTGCCTGTTTATTACCCCATCACAGCAATTTGAGACCAGAGCTTTGAAATTTACTGCAAGATTGCACAGGAGCAAAAGTCTATAAATCACATGACTTCGCTTGTCTTGAGAACATACAGCTGTAAGATTCGTCTAAAGCAAGATTCATTATAGCTTTAAATGCCTAGTAACCATTAAGTCTTTATCAAGCCACCTGTGATTTAACCTTACTTCTTCAACACAATGTCCGCAATCCATAAAGTCAGCTAACTCCTTGCCCATAGGGAACTTATTTTCAATGCGTCTTCTGTTCCCTTTCACTGCATGCCATGATTCTGTCATGGAGTTACCTTGGTATCACCTTGGTGAGCAGCCAACCTCATGCTTTCAAAGGCCTATTTAGTTTTAAGCTTTCAACTGCCAAGTAGCAGTGTTTATCTTTATTCCATAGAATCTAGTTATATTTTCAGCTACATAATGCTGCTCTTTGTAGAGAAATGCATTCTGCTGACCCATCGGCAGCAGGGTATGTGAGCTGAGTTGTTTTGCTTGTAGAAATGGTGGGTGTGTACTGATTCACTCATATTCTTTTATATAATTTCTGTACTGAAAATGGTACAAATTTTCAATACTAGCTGATCAAGATGAGGGATATCATTTGGGGTTGGGGACCAGAGCAAGACTAACTTTGTATTTCAGTTTATTAGGTATTTTAGTGCCCCAGTTATATGAAAGGAGAGGGAAGGGGCAAGCATGGAGAGTCTATTTCACTGGTGGGCTGCCATTTGTCTGAGGGTGGGAAGGGATAAGTGAGAATTCAAGGAGTCTGATTTTTGGGGAGATATGATATGATCCCACTTTGAAGATGTACGTGTGTTGGTTTAGAATTGTAAAACAATATTAGCTAAATTTAATTACTACATAAATTAAGAATTACAAAAAGTGATGCTTATTTTGTTAGTTTAGTTTTCTCTGTTTATGAAGATTTTAAAAAAATAAATGTATCTTTAGGTTAAATCATTTTAAGAATTTATAAATGTCAATTTATTTGTTCCCTGTATTGAAAAACAACATATTTACATTTGCAATGCAAACAGTCAAAAAATATATAATTGAAGCAAGACTCACATTGAAAAAAATCAATGTAGAAAATATTTTATATAACTATAAAACTTTTACTTTTTTATTTCTCTATAGATGCCAATTAAGTGGATGGCTCTGGAGTGTATCCACTACAGGAAATTCACCCATCAGAGTGATGTCTGGAGCTATGGTAAGTAAATGATACTAAAAAGTTATATCCCTCTCCACTATGACTGCCCACCAGGAGCAGCTCAATTAGAAATTTATGATCAGATGGCCCTGTGAGGTTACTTTCCAAAGAACACCTTTTTTCATTCATGGAAGTGTTAGGAGCTTAAAAAAGACTTCAGTTTGAGTAAATCATTTATTACAGATGGCAGTGGAAAAGAAAACATAGTCTTAATTAATAGGTTTTACATGAAAAATTACTGATTATATGCATCAGTGACACTTCTCTTGATAATACTATTGTGCCCAGATACTGATTTCTGAATGTAGAGTCGTTATCCTAAGGAAAACTATATATTTTAGTTCTACAATTACTAGAGCATAATGAAGAAGAAATATGTAATGTATGTATTATTGCTCAAATCAAATCGTTGTTATTATTATTATTATTATCAAATAATAATATCAGCATGCTAATACTTTAGGTGTTTGCTTTTACCAAGAAAATTAATGTTCTGGTGATTCAAGAATGGGATTTTTTTTATGTAAAGAAAAAATTATTGTTAATTTCTTTCAATTTTGTAATCCCCACTTCTCATGTATAAAATAATATCTTACATATGGATTATTTCCACTCAGGTTTTCATATGTCCGAAATAAATGAATCTGTTTTTATTCCACTTATTATCTTTGTGTTAGTTGAAAAGGGGGCCACAATTATTTACCCTAACAAAAGCTAATCATTCAGGAACACCAGCTTAGCCATTAGAACTTTTAATAGCAAATATGTTAATCTTGAGTTTAGTCAATATCAGATTTTACCTGCAATCCTATTTACTCGGTGCTGAATACACATGCATATAGTAAATAAATTATTTTGTCTGCTCTAATGTGCTATAGTGAAACTTTACTTGGGTCAGCAAACATTAGCATTATTTATAAGTACATGGGGAACAGATTTTTTATTCTGATTTTTGTCCTGAATTGTCTTTGCTACACATTAAAAATGTCAAGACAATATTAATTGAATTTCTTACAAAGATTTTGTCATTGGGTGTCTAAAAATGAGTAGAGGAATCAGAAGAGCCTTCTTAAATCTATTTTTGATTGCCCTCTGGGGAGCATTCCTTTGCCACTTGTGTATTGCTTAGTTATTCCAAATACGTTGTTAATATGCTTACATAAGAATTTAATCTCCAATTTAGGAGTCACCATATGGGAACTGATGACATTTGGAGGAAAACCCTATGATGGAATTCCAACCCGAGAAATCCCTGACTTATTAGAGAAAGGAGAACGTTTGCCCCAGCCTCCCATCTGCACCATTGACGTTTACATGGTCATGGTCAAATGTAAGACAGCAAAATCATTTCATCATCATTCTTAATAAATTAATCTACCTGCATAATGGTTTTGTATATTGATCAATATGAAAGCTCAAAAATAATTATGGAAGCAGCATATAAACACCTGTGCATTTTGTGATCATTATTAAAATGAAGCGGTATTATGCCTCTGTGGTGTGAAGTCAAATTATATGATTTTTATCATTTCCATGGCAATCAAATTGTCTTACATAAAGAGATGAAACTCGTCGCAATATTAGTATTTTTATAGGAAAACTAGAGGCCCGATGCATGAAATTCTGAGAGGGCCTTGGCCCAGCCCCCTGCGGCTGCAGCTTTGTCTGGTAGGAAGGACACATGGAAGGACATCCAGTCTAATTAGCATATTATGCTTTTATTGTTATAGAAACCAGGCTAAATAAATGATCCTATCTTAATAAAGACCATATTGACCATAACTCTAATACATAAGATGGCTGTCCCCATGTGGTCAAAGATGGCCACCCCCAGGTAGACACAAGATAGTGGCCACAAGATGGCCTGTAGGAGAGGGCAGTTGTGAGCAACCAGGCCAGCAAGGGAGGAAAGTTGGGGGGGGGGGGGTAGGCCTGCAGGGGAGGACAGTTGGGGGGAACCAGGCCTGAAGGAAGGGGCAGTTTGGGGTGACAGACCTGTAGAGGAGGGCAGTTAGGCATTGATCAGACTGGCAAGGGAGTGTTTAGGGGTGATCAGGCTGGCAGGCAGAAGTGGTTAGGGGCAATCAGGCAGACAGGCAGTGAGTGGTTGGAAGCCAGTAGTCCTTGATTGTGAGAGAGATGTTCCAGATTGGAGAGGGTGCAAGCTGGGCTGGAGAGGGACACCTTCCCCCACCCCCATGTACAAATTTCATGCACCAGGTCTCTAGTCTAAATATAAAGAAAGAAAGCCTGAAATTGATAGCATAAAAATGAATGACATGGAAATGAGTTTTTGGCCACAGGAAATGAGCCAGGCAAAGGGGAAGTGGGTAGACATGAATCTATATTGAACTAAAAAGATTATACATGTTTACTTATTTCAATTTGATCACTTGTTTATGTCTAGCTCTTTCTTTTATTTCTCCTTTCTATGCCTAGGCAAGTGTTTTAGAAGCTGGGGCTCTTAATTTAAATAGAATTAGAAAAGTCTCTGGAGTTTTTGACTTCATTTAAGTGAGCTTAACATTCAGCAATCTTTCGTGTGTAATCTGGGGTTTTCCCCTTTTGATTTGCACAGGATTAGCAAAGAAACAAACTGGTGAAGGTGAATAAGCATCTTATTAATAAGAGACTTTGGACCCAGGTCTACCCTATTTATATTCATGACATGTGTGATACATTCTGACAGGGAGGGAAGAAATAAAAAATGTGCTTTCCAGTGCAGGTCAGCATGCCCTTTTCTCTAAGCACAGTTCTATTTACTCAATATTTAGTCGGAGAGAAATTGAAACCTCGCTGTGAAGTTAACCTTTTTCTGTTCCAAAACACTATCTTCTTATTAGCATCTTGGCATCAAAAGCATTACTTTTCCCCTGCCAGCGGATACGTGTAGAATACAGAGCATTTCAACTTTGTTAGAAGAAATAAAATCTACGTGTAATTAATCATATACAAAATGGCACCCAAATACTTTCCAGAACAAGAATAAAAACTGAACTCCTAGACAAAAGAGAAAGGAGCTCCATGGCTTTATTGGCTCAAGCACTGACCAGAGTCTATGGAAGAATGTTTGAAAACATGCACTCCTTATATAATTTGATCCCATACCTAGCATACAGGATGATTCAGATACTTCATTTAGATACCCTAATGAAATAATGAAAAATTAAGAAAACTTTGCCCAATAGGGAGTTTTACCTTGCTTTTAGGAGTTTTAGTACCTAAGAAAAGGGTCATTTGACAAAAACATCAAGGAAAGCTTAGGTACTTTTATTTTTGTCATCTCATCAGCTACACAGAGCCTGGGGAGATGAGACCCACTTTAGCTAGACTCTCAGCTAAATAACAATGCATACTTGAAAATTGCTGAGAGAATTTTTATTCTGAAAAGGCTAGTACTAAAACAAGATAATGGTGATGGCTGAACAAACGTTACCAATCGCTGTACAGTAGTTTGTTGTGATTTTTATTTCCCCCAATCAAGAAAAGGATACCATTAAAAAGTTGCTTTCTATTCTTCTTCTTTTTTAATCCTTTGTGTTATTGTACCACATTATAACCAAACCTTTTTTATTCCATGGCTCTCCTGATACAGAAGAATAAATTATATTCCAATCACCTCTTCTATAACCACCAAAGAAAAGCTTTAAAAGAGAATTCTCTCTGTACCTAAGAAAAAATTATCTGAAAGTCTATTAAGTTAGTATAGTTAAACTAGGTTATATATATTTTAGGAAGAAAACAATTTTAATTTAGATCAGGAAAATAAAAATTTATGTTTTTCTACAATATATTTAATTTAGTTGTGTCAACAAACTGATTGAAGTGGAACCTTCATCTTTTGGGTTGTTTCTTTTATTAACTTTCTTTGTTTTTCAAAACACTATTGTAAAAACAATATTTTTAGCCTATATTTTCATAAATTCCATGTCCCATTTCTTCCTGATTATGACTTTTATTGCATGTGAATTTCTAGGTTGGATGATTGATGCTGACAGTAGACCTAAATTTAAGGAACTGGCTGCTGAGTTTTCCAGGATGGCTCGGGACCCTCAAAGATATTTAGTTATTCAGGTGAGTACATATGCCTTAGATTTTTAACAATTTCCCAATGGCAAACTCACTCCAAATATGAGTAATATCTGGGCTTTGAAACTGTGGAAATCACCCTCACAAATAGACTAACTAAGCAGAACATCATGTGAAATGACTTATGGAAAAGAGCTTTTACTTGATGTCAGAATTCTTCTAAATACCTTCCCTTAGTATTCAAGTGCCTCTGCTATTGAACAGCTAGAGAATTATGATTATTCATCTACACAAAAAGCCTTTATCCTGAGATTAGCCTTCTAGCACTCTGCTTTTTGTTAGCGTTATGTGTGTCATGTTCACTATTATAATCTTCTCTTTTCAGATCAAAAAAGGATTGATTTTTATGTTAATCTTATTCACGATTGAAGACAATGAATTAAAGCTTCAATATATTGATATTGATATTTCATTTCATAGAAAACTATTTTTAAATTTGTTTGGGGAAATATGTAGTATCTAAGCATTACTCAGATTCAAATGAATTGATATGCATATCCTATCTAATGAAAGAATAATATGCAAATTGACAGTCACTCCAACACACAAGATGGCTGCCCCCATATGGACACAAAATAGCTGCCACAAAATGGCCAGCAGGGGAGGGCAGTTGGGAGGGACCAGGCCAATAGGGGAGGGCAGTTGGGGGCAATCAAGCCTGCAGTGAAGGGCAGTTAAGAGTGACCAGGCTGGCAGAGGAGGGAAGTTAGAGATGACCAAGCCTGAAGTGGAGGGCAGTTGGGGGGGACCAGGTCTGCAGGGGAGGGTAGTTGGGACCAGGCCTTCAGGGGAGGGCAGTTAAGGGTGACCAGGCCTGCAGTGGATGGCAGGCAGTTGTGGGGGGAGGACCAGGTCTGTAGGGGAGGACAGTTTTAGGGGTACCAGGCCTGCAAGGGCAGGCAGTTGGGGAAGGGGACCAAACCAGCAGGGGAGAGCAGTTAGAGGAGACCAGGCTGGCAGGAGAGTGGTTAGGGGTGACAGGCTGGCAGGCAGAAGCTGTTATTGGCAATTAGGAAGGCAGGCAGGCGATGCAGTTGGGAACCAGTAGTCCTGGATTGTGAGAGGGATGTCTGATCAGGCCTAAATGGGCAGTTGAACATCCCTCGAGGGGTCCCAGACTGGAGAGGGTACAGGCTGGGCTGAGGGACACACCCCTATGTGCACAAATTTCATGCACCAGGACTCCAGTAAATTAAATAACAGGCCAAGAGAGTTCACGTTTAACACTAGAAAGAAAAAAATGGGTTGGGAGCCTTAGCTGGTTTGGCTCAGTGGACACAGCATTGGACTATGTGCTGAAAGGTCCGGGTTCGATTCTGAACAAGGGCACATGCCTGGGCTGTGGGCTCAATCTGCAGTAGGGGGTGTGCAGGAGGCAGCCAATCAATGATTCTTATCACTAATGTTTCTATCTCTCTCTTCTTTTATGAATTCAATAAAATATATTTTTAAAAATAGTTTGAGTAATTTAAATATGTATTATAATCAGGTAATTTAAATATATATATATATATATATATATATATAATATTTTCAGTGATGATTTTCATCTAATCCATAAACAAATAGACTTTGGCTTATGTGGAGAGCAGCTACAGCGTTTGGACAGATTCAAGTCTCAGAATAATGAGAGGGCACATTACCTCATCTATATAGGATTTGAGTGTCTCTCCCACTCCTATTTATGCTTTATGCCATGTGGGCTGTGATTTTTGAATGTCCTCACTTCAACAGTGTTGTGTGCCATGGGACAAATATAAGCCTGTGCATCCTGATAACTCTACACTATGAAACAAACCACCCTAAAAACAAAGATTGATAAATCTATTGCCCTTTATTATTTATTCGTAAAGTCAAACCCCAGACACCATGTTGGCAGTAAAGCTGACCACTACTCTCAGATCTGAAATGTGTTTTGTCTTCCTCAAAACATAGCATTTTGCTTTATTCATCTCTGGTGGCATTTAGTGTATTCTTTTTTGCATTAAATGTATTTTCCTTGGTATATCTGAGCATATTACAGGCTCCTTTATGACTGGCAGTTATGCTAAAGAGCTATTTTTTACATGAGTACATGCATTTTCAAGCATTGGTTTTGATTATAAATTTACTGCAAAGGCCATGTATTTCAGATAAAAGGAAGAATCAAATTTTGTGTTTCTCATGGGCAATCCTTTAGGGTGATGATCGTATGAAGCTTCCCAGTCCAAACGATAGCAAGTTCTTTCAGAATCTCTTGGATGAAGACGATTTAGAAGATATGATGGATGCTGAGGAATACTTGGTCCCTCAGGCTTTCAACATCCCACCTCCCATCTATACGTCCAGAGCAAGAATCGACTCAAATAGGGTAAGAAGTAATTATATATCAAGCATCATATTAGTGTCATATTATTACTGAGAAATGAAGTTATATAAATATATTTAAAGACTAAAATTACAAAACATTTTTATATCCCAAATCAGTGTGATTGCTAGCTTAAAAACGTACCATATACCATACCAAAAAATTGCTACAGTAAACTTGTCATGCATAGTTAATTTTGGAAGAAAAGTATAGCTACAATATGCACTTTGAAATATCTTCAAGATTTCAGGAGAAACATTTTATTTACCTTAAGTAAGTTAAAACAAATATTATTTTTTTAAAATTCAAAAGCCAATTCAAATAAAGAAAACTGCACATGTATAAATAAATGAAAGGGTTTTTTTTAATCAAGATGGGCTTTCTACTTTTCTTTCTTAATAAGATGATATAACTTATTAGTCAAGAGGTAATATCAATACAATTCTCTTTCACTCAGAGACATGAAATATTTTGTCAACTTGAAGCAGAAAGAGAAAATTGTTCAATTCTTTGAATGAAATTAATAGTATTAGGAAGACTGCTTAATCATTTTTGAAGATGGAGATTTAAGTTTTGAAAGAAACTTCTGAAAAGAATTTCCATTTCACTGATCCTATTAAGCCCATTCTCTATGAATACCATTCTTTTTCTGAAAACTGCCAATCCATGTATTCATTTATATGTTTATTTTAAAATGTTACTCATAATTCATTCAGCATGTATTGAGTATCTCTGCATGTGAGGCATTATTAGACAGGGGAGATTGAAAGGATTTCGACATACCTCCTGCCCTCAACAGTGCCCAGTAGATGAAAGAGACACACAGCTATAGAGACTGAGTACCACAGTATATTTGTTGTTACCAAGAACTGGCCATTTATAGCAAGGAAAGGCAGTAAACTAATGCCTGTAATATTTTTTTTATTGAAAAGGCATAAATATGATGCTTTTTTTTCTAAAGAGAGATTCTTTTCTCTAAGTCTCCTCCTGCATCTAAGAACCTTAGAACTTGCAGAACAAGGAGCATTTATTTGCCTTGACCATGGGCATAACAAAGCGTTCACCTTGCTGCTCATTCTCTGAAATAAAGTTGACAGCAATGATAAAGCAATACCTAGTATTTCTTATGTGTCAACACACATAGAGTCTCCTAATCTTTCCAGCAGCCCCATGGGATCCTATTATTGTTCCCATCTTAAAATCTTCACAGAGTGCCGCCATTTGACTAGTGTCACACCGTGAGCCAATGGAAGAGCATATTTCTAATGCACGCAGTCTGTCTCTACTACACAAGCTATTGCCTCAGTGAATAGAATGTGTTATTTTTATGACATGGTTGTTCTTACTGACACCAACCTCAACATGTTATTTGGGGAATTCCCAGGTGATTTTCTTATAAAATGCAACCCCAATCTGCCCCCACATCTTTTGCCCAGCCTAGAAGGTCTGATATAGAGTCAGTGGTGGAGACCTCACTATATTTTTCTTTCTATGAAAAATATGTCTTGATCCCAGTGGGGAGGGGATATAACTAAAAGATTTAAAAATTAAACCAACTAATAGATATTTACAATGAGTCTCTAAAGGGAAGGAACAGCTATTAGATGTATGGAAGGGTCACCTTTCTTTTCCTCTGTACATTTAGCAAAATGGCCACATTATGCCTTCGGTACTTATAATTCTATATGACAACTTTATATATGTTTATTAAAATGGAAATTTCAAGGAAATTGTTTTTCTTCCTTAACATGAAATGCTACAAAGTCCAAAAGCTTGAATTTTTATCTTCTCTTAAGAATTCTCAAATTCCAAAATTCTGTTCATTTTAATTTACGCTCAATGCAAGGAATGTTTAATAAAATTTGAGGTAACTAAATGGAATTAACGAGAAAAAAGTAGAACCCACAGGAGGAATTACTCAGTCTTCAGCCATCATTTCATATTCTACATTATTATTTAAATAGTATTATCTGTAGTATTCTTTTAACTTTTTTTGGTCATTGTTAAAGGAATTATGCTTAAATATCACTTTCATTTTCAGGCATTAAAAAGCTTTACTACTCATCTATGTTATTCTATTTTTTTTCCAATTGGGCTTTATGTAAATTTATGGTAATTTCTAACATGTAAAAATTCTCCCACCCCCTTCTTTTCTATAAAGCTAAGTTATGTTATACTTAGAAAATAGGTTACTTCAATATTAGGACAACTTAGGTGGTAAAGAAACATCTTAAAGTGAATTTTAATCTGATGTTTCTTAAGAATATTCTTTGGACTTTGAAATCATAAGATAATCCAGTTTTCTTGGGTGGTGACTGCTCACAAGCCAAACATCTTTAGGTAATGTTCTGAATAACTTTATGACTTTTTTTCATTTGTAAAATAAACACATTGATATTTATCTAATATGGTTATTAGGCATATGACTTTGAAAAATGCAGAGTATCTGAAGTGCCCAGCAAGTAAACACTTCTTACCTTCTTTTTAGAATCACCCAAAGATATTTGGTTGAAGACCAACCAACTAAATAAGAAAAGCAAAGTCTATTTATTCAGAGAGTACTATAGCAAAGCATCAGCCACCAGTCGCTAATATTTTGGCAGACTCTAAAGCAGACAGAGGAGAGAGAAAACTTTATAGGGAGACAAAGGAAGGCTTTGGGTATGTTCTGCTTGGAGCTGTTGTCCTGAGAAAGCTGAATGTGGGCAGAGCAGAAACGGGGTATCTTATGTGATTCATTAGGGGTACATATTTGGCTTTTTCTGATTGTTCCTAATTTGAAAGTGGGGACAAAGATGAAGGAAGCTGTTAGTTATTAAACAAGTCTTGGTGCCTGGCCATTGTGACTCAGTGGTTGAGTATTGACTCAGGAGGTCACAGTTTGATTCCAACCAACGCACATGCCCAGATTGTGGGCTCAATCCCCAGTCAGGGGAGTGCAGGAGGCAGCCAACCAATGTTTCTCTGTCATTGATGTCATTGTCTCTATCTCCCTCTTCCTTCTTATTTTCTAAAATCAACAAAAACATATTTTAAAAAAATTTTAAGTCTTGGTAATTTTGAATTAACTGTTACACAAGTTATCGTTTAGCTTCCTGAACTGCTCTTAGAGATAATAATATGTCTTCTTACAAATCTGACTTAGCCAACTGGCTTTCTGGGCCATGTATGGCACAAACAGTTTCCTGGGAAGTTTGCTGTCAGTTTTGGGTTAGATCTCTATTTTTATATATGATCTGGTCATTGTCTGTATAATCAATCCATCTCTAGGTTTTAGGTTCTATTGCTACCTTTTTCTCTCTCTCTCTCTCTCTTGATATATTTACTTAAATACATTTTGCCCAACATTTCAATTAAATGCTCAATACAGTTTTGAAATTTCTGCATACATTTATTTTCTGTTAATGCAGATTTTGTTTTTCTTTCAAGTCACCTAGATTTTTGTTTGTTTGGTATAATGAACTGTACATTAACTGCAATAGCAATGGATAAGTAATAAATGAATGTGGCTAAATAGATTATAGTTTTAATAATAGTAGAAAGTTTAATGCAAAAGATTCAGTGCATTTTTTATACAGGATGACCTAATTTCAGTTGTTATAGAACCATTCAGTCATTTGTGATGAGGAGCTTTAAAGATTAAGTGCCCCACCTTTTGAAAACATATCAGCTAATTCCAAATTATCCAAGCCGGTGAGATAGGAGAGGTGTAGCTGCTGCATATAGTGGAGCCAGAGACCTACCAAAGATTTATCGTTAGAGTTTAAACGTTCTCCACTTCTTTTTGATTTATTAAGGAATAACTGTATTAACAGATTTGTACTTTATCCTTCCTGTTTTCCCTCACTCTCCCAAAGATGGGTATATAAATGAGTTGAAATATGACTAAATGTATTCAGAAGAAGTAAAGGATAAGTCAAATAAGAGTTTGGTACCTCAAATTTTTATCAGTTACTCAATAATTGAGTATAGGCTAACTATCTGACATCTCAAAATATGTGACTTCTATGTATACTTTATTTTGTACCACTATCTCATTGCTTTCAGATAAGATTTCATAACTCTGATAAACATATTTTAGTAAGGCTACCACACACGTTGCAGTTATCTTTGATGTCCTTACCAATTCATCACTTTAAAAATAGAAATAAAGCATTGGGCCAGAACCGGTTTGGCTCAGTGGTAGAGCATTGGTCTGCGGACTGAGGGGTCCCAGGTTCGATTCCTGTCAAGGGCATGTACCTGAGTTGCGGGCACATCCCCAGAAAGAGGTGTGCAGGAGGCAGCTTGTCGATGTGTCTCTCTCATCGACGTTTCTAGCTCTCTATATCTCTCCCTTCCTCTCTGTAAAAAATCAATAAAATATATTTTTTTAAAAAGAAAAGAAAGAAAGCATTGGTCTCCCTGTAAGATTTATAATATTGTGCTATACATGTTTCTAGTAATGCATAAACTAGTGGAAATTCAAGTAAAATGATGATGCAAAAACAATGATGTTATTCTTAATAATGACATTTGAAAATATGAGAATTTTATTTGCATTTGTCTTTGCAGTCCAATAAATCAAAATCATTACCTTTATTTTATGAAATAATAAAAATAATGATAATGATATCAGCTCTAACTTATGAGTATTTACTATAACCCAGGTACTATGCTAGGTGCTTAATATTAACTATTTCACAAAGCTCTATGAAGTAGATGCTAATGTTTATCTGATTTTAAGAGTTGAGAAAATTGAGCTGTGAAAAGTTTAGGTAACTTACAAATGATAAAAAGCAGACTTAGACCATCCAGCTTTCAATAGTCCCACATGGAGTCCTATTCTTGACATAGCAACTTACTATTACATTTCTTGCTATTTATGGAACAAACACTTTTGTTTCACTCAGTGGTAAGTAGCTAACAGTAACAAAGTTAAATGTCAAGAATTTCACATTCTAGAACCAGTGCTTTGATCCTTTAGCCTCGGTCACATCACTTAATCAGACTCAGTTTGTTTG